TCTCCCTCTCCCTTCCTCTCTGAAATCCATAAAAATATGTATTTTTAAAAGTATGTTTAATACATTTCTAGAAATAAGATAGAGGGTGGAAAATATGGTTAAAAGTCAATATATCTGAAAAGAAACCAAAAGAACTTATAAAAATGTAATATATCAATTTTAAATTGTCTAGGTGGGCTTAAATTTCCTGTATATGTCTTTCGACATGGTCAAACATGGTAAACTAGAAGACAGATCTGAAAAAATTACACAGAACAAAAAGAAAAGATGACAACTATAAAAAAGACAATAGAGGATATAGTGCAAGGATCTAACAAATGCCTACTTAAAGTTCTAGAAGAAGGAGAGAGGAAAAAAATAGAGCAAAGAACTGAAGACATATGCCTAACACTATTTTAGAACAAAAGAAAGAACTCAGTTCACAGATGCAAGATATCCAATGGAACCCAAACAGCATAAGTAAAAAGAAAGTTATACCCAGAGACCCACAACAAGGAAATTACAGAACAAAAGCGAAAGAAAATACATTTGCAGCAGCCATTAGAAAAAGAGATTACTATCAAACATGTCATAATTAGAATGACAGATGATTTATCAACAGTTGAGGCTACATGTTAGTGAAGTAATATTTTTAAAAAAATATATATTTTATTGATTTTCCACAGAGAGGAAGGGAGAGAGATAGAGAGCTAGAAACATCGATGAGAGAGAAACATCGATCAGCTGCCTCCCGCACATCTCCCACTGGGGATATGCGCACAACCCAGGTACATGCCCCTGACCGGAACCGAACCCGGGACCCTTCAGTCCGCAGGCCGACGCTCCATCCACTGAGCCAAACCGGCTTCGGCAGTGAAGTAATATTTTTAAAGTGTTTAATGTGCTGAAAGCAATAATTGTCAAACTAAAATTCTGTGACCAGTGAAAATATATTTTAAAAATGAAAATATTATTCAAATAAAGATATTCAAACAAATGCAGAGTTTGCCACCACAGATCTTCATGAAAGGAAATTCTAGAATGTGTACTTTAGGCAGAAAAAAAAAAAAAGAGATTACAACAGGTGGGTGGTCCGAGATGAAAGACAATAATGAAGAACAAAATGATACTGTCTTGGCCGGTGTGTTCAGTGGTTAGAGGGTCAACCCCCATACCAAAGAGTCTCCAGTTCAATCCCTAGCTACCATCAGGGCATGCAATGGAGGCAACCATTTGATGTATCTCTCTCACATTGATGGTTCGTTTCTCTCTCTCTCTCTCTCTGTCTCTCTCTCTCTCTCTCTCTCTCTCTCTCTCTCTCTCTCTCTCTCTCTCTCTCTCCCTCTCTTACACTCTCTCTCTCCCTCCCTCCCAGTCCCTTCCACCTTCTCTAAAAATATCAATGGAAAAAAATATCCTTGGTTGAGGATTAACAAAAATAAATAAAAAATAAATAAATAAATACGAACATCCAAACGAACATTGATCACATACACTATAAAAATGCTTTATGGCCGAAACCGGTTTGGCTCAGTGGATGGAGCGTCGGCCTGCGGACTGAAAGGTCCCAGGTTCGATTCCGGTCAGGGGCATGTACCTGGGTTGCGGGCATATCCCCGGTAGGAGATGTGCAGGAGGCAGCTGATCGATGTTTCTCTCTCATCGATGTTTCTAACTCTCTATCTCTCTCCCTTCCTCTCTGTAAAAAATCAATAAAATATATTTAAAAAAAAATGCTTTATGAGCCCTAACCGGTTTGGCTCAGTGGATAGAGCGTCGGCCTGCGGACTCAAGGGTCCCAGGTTCGATTTTGGTCAAGGGCATGTACCTTGGTTGCAGGCAAATCCCCAGTAGGGGGTGTGCAGGAGGCAGCTGATCGATGTTTCTCTCTCATTGATGTTTCTAACTCTCTATCCCTCTCCCTTCCTCTCTGTAAAAAATCAATAAAATATATTTTTTAAAAAATGCTTTATGAAATTAAGAAAGACAAGATATCATTGAAATACATGATAACACTAGCATTTAAAATTAGAAGGGAGTAATTGGAGTTGAAATGTTTAAAGTTCTTTTGTATTGTTGAAGAGGAAGTTAAACATTCTAATTCACAATAAATGTTTTATTTATCTCTTCACATTATTTTCCTTTAAATCCCTGAGTATATTTAAAATAAAATTTAAAATTTGTACTACTAATTCCATCATCTCTATCATTTCTTATCTGTTCTGTTAACCATTTTTTTCTCCTGGTTATGCGTCACATTTTCCTGCTACCTGGTATACTAATATTTTTAACTGAATGTTGGACATAGTGATGAGTGATATGTTTTGTTGCCTTTTAAAAATATATATATTTTTATTTATTTCAGAGAGGAACGGAGGGGAGAGATAGAAACATCAATGATGAATCATTGATCAGTTTCCTCCTGCACGCCCCCTACTGGGGATCAAACCTGCAACCCAGGCATGCACCCTGACAGGGAATCAAACTGTGACCTCCTGGTTTATAGGTCAATGCTCAACCACGAAGCCACACCAGCTGGGCCAGTGGTTCTCAACCTTCCTAATGCCGTGACCCTTTAATACAGTTCCTCATGTTGTGGTGACCCCCAATTTCATTGTTACAAATTGAACATAATTAAAGCATAGTGATTAATCACAAAAACAATATGTAATTATATATGTGTTTTCCAATGGTCTTAGGCGACCCCTGTGAAAGGGTCGTTTGACCCCCAAAGGAGTCGCGACCCACAGGTTGAGAACCGCTGAGCTGGGCTATTCCCTTCTTTTAAAGAGTGTTGAGTTTTCTTTAAGTGGCAGTTAAATTCCTTGAGGATTCTTTCAAGATTGCTTGTAAGCATTGTTAGAGTTGGTCTACAGTGGCCATTACTCAAGGACTGGTTTGGTCCTACTAATAAGGCTTGACCTTTCCGCAGTCTCTAGTGAAGGTCCCAGCTCTTTAGAAGTTCTCTCCTTTTTGGCTGGTTGGAATTCAAATGTCTCCCAACTCTATGTGTGCCCTGGACCCTCTGTAGTTCTTAGCCCAGCTTCAAGGAGCTTTACCCTATAAATGCACAGACTGGTATTCAGTAAAAACAAACCCAGTGCAGATTTCTAGAAGTCTTTCTCTATGTAGCTACCTCTTCTCTGCTATTCTGCTACATGAATTCCAACCACCCCAGCTTCTCCAAATCCTAACCTCTGTCCCCTCAAGAAATTCACTGCACTCTGACTGGGTTCTCCCTCCCGGTACCCTGGTCCAGAAAGTGCCTCTCGAAAGCCAGGATGATCACAGGACTCAGCTTGTTTGTTTCTGTTCTTTCAGGGGTCGTAATCCTTTGCTGCCTATTGATCAATGTTGGAAAAGTTATTTCATGTTTTTTTTCCAGTTTTCTAGTGGTTTGTAGTATGTGTAGGGAAGGGGCACATTCAGTACTGCTTGCTCTGCCATGGCCAGATCATGATTACTTTAGACTATGAAAAATTAGGCATGGGTATTAAAATTTTGGGGGTAATTTCTAAAAACATAAGAATGCGCCAAAACCAGTTTGGCTCAGTGGATAGAGCGTCGGCCTGCGGACTAAAAGGTCCTAGGTTCGATTCCGGTCAAGGGCATGTACCTGGGTTGCGGGCACATCTCCCAGTGGGGGGTGTGCAGGAGGCAGCTGATCGATGTTTCTCGCTCATCGATGTTTCTAACTCTCTATCTCTCTCCCTTCCTCTCTGTAAAAAATCAATAAAATATATTAAAAAAAAAAAAAAAAGAATGGATAGTATATACTTGTGATAGATTGCAAAATGGTCACAAATTCTTCCCATGCCAAAAAGAGGTGAGGTCTATTTCTCTACTCCTTAAATCTGGGTTGGCTGTGCGATTTCCTTCAGCTTTAGCATATAAAAAACAAAGTAATGAAAAGTGTTTGTGTGTTGGAGTTCACTGGATGGGTAACAAGAGACATGTAGCCCTGTCAGTAGTCACCCCTATTACTCTGGTCAACAGCCTGCCAATCACCAGACATGCTAGTGAGGTCATCTTAGATCATCAACTGCTAACCAATCTGCCAAATGGCCACAGATGCAGAGATCCACTGAGCTAATGTAGACAAGTCGCACGGTCCAGATGGCCCAGGAATAGTTATTGTTTTCAGCCACTGAGTTGTTTTTGCTTTTTGTTTGTTTTTGGAGAGGAGAGAGAGATTGTTGTACAGCAAAAGCTAACTTTATATAAACCTCAAAGACTAGGAGTATAAACTAAAAAGAGATACTCTCTTCAAAACCAGAAAAACAAATAAGAATGATCTTTTTAAAAAATTATTAATCTAAATGTCTGAACTTTCTAGCCAAAGATCGAGAATTTGAAAGAAAAAGATGTTTGTTTCCAGTAGTGGTAGTCTAGGTTATTTGGATTGACTCCTACTCCAAACAGTGTTGCCAAATTTAGCAAACAAAAATACAAGGTGTCCAGTTAAATTTGAATTTCAAACATATTTATACTAAAAAATTTATTGTCCATCTGAAATCCAAGTTCAACTGGTGTCTTGTATTTTATTTGGCAGTCCCATTCCCTCTCCCACTGAAAACAATTCAAAATGCTGGAGAAACGCACACAACGTATTCGTATAGTGCAGTGATGGCGAACCTTTTGAGCTCGGCGTGTCAGCATTTTGAAAAACCCTAACTTAACTCTGGTGCCGTGTCACATATAGAAATTTTTTGATATTTGCAACCATAGTAAAACAAAGACTTATATTTTTGATATTTATTTTATATATTTAAATGCCATTTAACAAAGACAAATCAACCAAAAAAATGAGTTCTTGTGTCAGCTCTGACACATGTGTCATAGGTTTGCCATCACTGGTCTAGAGCTACATACGGATCAAGAGGTGACAAGGTAAAAAGGGGTTATTGCGTACGTGGCTTTGTATTGTGTCAACAAAGAGTGTAATTTATGAATGTACTCAGAGATAAGTAAATGTTGCAATTTCATATAATAAGAGGCAAACATACAGACACAAAGACTCACAGAAAGCTTGCAGCTTTAGTTCTACAACGGCAGCTATGGGTCAAAGTAAACACAGGACACAAAATCTGATCAGTCCCAATCTCAAAGGGATTTTCCTTTTCAGTGTACACAGAACATCTTCTTAATTGATTTGACCTAATAGGAAAACATTCAGAAAGAAGAAAGAATAACAAACCATAATCTGTTATCTATTAGCTAACAGAGTATAAATCCCCATCATGCTGATATTGATAACCAAATAAATGTTCAGGCCATAAAATCAGATCCCCAGTTGTTGCTTTTACCAATTGAGAACAGCTTATCAACAATGTGCAAATCAGAACTAGAACCAAGTCTGGTCAAGAACCAGAAACAAAAATAAAAGCATGGGATCAGGAATAGAGAATCAAGAGTAAAGTTAGACTTCCTCTTCGGATTTGCTCTGGGGCAAAAAAATAAAATAAAATAAAAATAAAAAAGGTACCGATGGGCTTAAATATCCCATGAGGTGCGCTTCTAGTACTCATTAGTTGGCTCTGGTAGAAATGCCTGCGTAGGCATCTCAGTGGAATCATATCAAAGCAAAATATTTAAAAAGTGTAAAATATGGCCCTAGCTGGTTTGGCTCAGTGGATAGAGCGTTGGACTGCGGACTGGAAGGTCCCAGGTTCGATTCTGGTCAAGGGCACATGCTCGGGTTGTGGGCTCCATCCCCAGTGGGGGGTGTGCAGGAGGCAGCTGATCAACGATGCTCTCTCATCATTGATGTTTCTCTCTCTCTCTCCCTCTCCCTTCCTCTCTGAAATCAATAAAAATGTTAAAAAGAAATAAAAAATAAACAAAAATACAAAGTGTAAAATATGGCTCTGACCCAAGTAACAGAATGAAATTTGGCCATGCCAAAAATTTATTAACTCATTACTGATGGACACAGAATGACGATAAAGCTGGTTCCAAGAGTATTGAAGGAACTGTGTGTTTACATGTAGAACTGTGTATTTATAGATATTTAAAATATCTACAAAAATAATATATTATTTTTAAAAAGTAATGCGAGGTTAAGATTGCTAGTTTAGATACACACTGGTAAATGAGCTTCAGAACAATCAGCTACAACACTGGGGGTTATCTTTCCTACTGGATGGAAATTGGCAAGTTTACAGGTTAACAGAGTTTGGGCTTTACAGATGGTACACAGTCAAGTCAGACCCAGATACAGTCTTCCTGACAAAGTCCATTAGACACTGAAAAGACAGGCTACACTTCCTTTTGCTTATTTCCAAGTGTTTGATTTCTCTCCTCTTCTCTAGCTGCATGTGCTCAGCTGAAAACTGGAAAAGTGCTGTCCCAGAGTACTCTGCATCTCTCTCCTATTTGATACTTTGTCCTGAGAACTCTGGCTGCCTTGGCCGCCCAGTTAACCCAGTTCCCTCTTTAATTCAGAGATGTCTGGTCTGGACTATACCTTGGTTCCACCTCCCTTCATCCTGGAATCTATTTTCAGACAGGATGTATGTGTTTGTTTTCCATTCATCAATCATTGCTACACTTAGTTGCCCTATGTCCAATGTCTTGAAAACCATTGTTTCATTTATTTAGTGTAGTTTTTCAGTTGTCACAGGCAGGAGGGTAAATCCATTTCCTATTACTCTCTTGGCTTGCTATTTTTTTTCTTGCCTCATTGCACTGGTTAGAACATTCAGTACAATGGTGAACATCATTGCCTTCTTCCTGATTGTACAGGGAAAGCGTTCAATCTTTCAACATAAAACATGATGTTCATGTAGGTTTTACATAAATTACTTCCTAATTTGCTGAGAGTTTATCAGAAATGTTGTATTTTGTCAATGCTTCTGTGTGCAAATGTTGAGAAGATCTTGCCTATATATTTTTTTAATCCTCACGCGAGGATATGTTTTTATTTGATTCTTAGAGAGAGAGAAACATCAATCAGTTGCCTCCTGTATGCACACTGACCAAGGATCGAACCTGCAACCTGTTGGTATACAGGAGGGTGCTCCAACTAACTGAACTGCCCAGCCAGGGCAAGATCTTGCCTTTTGAACAATAGTCTGGGGATCTAGCCAGTTTGGCTCAGTGGATAGGGCATCAGACTGCAGACTGAAGGGTCCCGGGTTCGATTCTGGTCAAGGGCACATGCCCAGGTTGTGGGTTCGATCCCCAGTGGGGCGTGTGCAGGAGGCAGACGATCAATGATTCTCTCTCATCATTGATGTTTCTCTCTCTCCCGCTCTGAAATCAATAAAAATATATTTTAAAAAATAATCTGGGCGCTCTCCTGAATAATAAATTTACTTACATAAATGTAAAGATCAAAAGTAAAAAAATAGTCTCCTCGTGTGGAGAAATACACAAATTGGCTTCCTAGAACAAGGAAATACTCTGCCCTCTTTAGCTTTCTGGAAGACTTTGTGAGGAACTGGTTTTGTTGGGGTTCTTCCCTTCTTTAAATGGACGGTAGAATTCACTAGTAACACCATCTGAGCCTAGTGCTTGTGAGATTTCAAACTACCAACCCAAATTCTTTCATAGCTATATAGCTAACAGGTTACCTATTTTTTTTCATCTTTTAAAAATTTAGATAATTTACATATATTGTATTAGTTTCAGGTGTACAACATAATGATTCAATATTTGTATATATCGCAAAAATGGTCACCACAATAAATGAAGTTAATGTGCACCCTATTTCTTCTTGAGTAAGCTTTAGTAAGTTTGTCTTTTTTTTTTTTTATATATTATTGATTTTTTACAGAGAGGAAGGGAGAGAGAGAGAGAGTTAGAAACATCGATGAGAGAGAAACAATGATCAGCTGCCTCCTGCACATCTCCTACTGGGGATGTGCCCGCAACCCAGGTACATGCCCCCGACTGGAATCGAACCTGGGACCTCTCAGTCCGCAGGCCGACGCTCTATCCACCGAGCCAAACCGGTTTCGGCAAGTTTGTCTTTTTTAAAAATATTTTTTGTCGATTTCAGGGAGGGAGGGAGAGATAGAAACATCAATGATGAGAGAGAATCATCAATCAGCTGCCTCCTACACACCCCCTTCTGGGGATCAAGTCTGCAACCCAGGCATGTGCCCTGATGGGGGATCGAACCATGACCTCCTGGTTCAAAGGTCAACACTCACCCACTGAGCAACACTGGCTGGGCTGGGCGGAAGGCTTTTATTAAATGTAGGCAAAGGGGAAGGAGGATAGTGTGGTCCTTCGCTTCTGATGCTGGTGGGGTGACTGCCAACTTGAACCCTCTTCTCCAGATAGTGATTTCTGTTTGGTCCTCCCGGAATTGCCATGGTGATTGGGGGCAGGCGGGTGTGTTCTGAAATTGCACACAAATGTATTATAAAGATATAAGGCCCTGTTACACACTTAGGTCAATATGGCTGCCAAATCTGATGGAGACTGGTTTTTGTCTCAACTACAGGAAATTGGGGAGAAGGAGCAGGGAACAGGTGGTCAGTAAGTCAGGTCTGCGATGTCCAGCAAGGATGGAAAAGGGGAGGGGTAGAGATTGAGGCCTTTACTCCCTTCCTAACTTTCCTGCTTCATAAACCCCCTTGTGAGATTTCAATCCCACAGTCATTTGGGAAGATGAGGGTTGCTGGTCAGTCTGTAGTTGCTTCAGGCTGAGACTGGACGATCCCTGCCTAGCCTGGGATCAAAATCTCTTTATGCCTGAACTAAGGGTCCGAGCTCCATATCCCCTGGATGTCGAGGTCTGGGCTGGAATCCTTGCAGTGTCATCATCTTTACATGACACTGTCGTCACCTAGAACATATAAATTTACTGAGCAGATTAAGGAGGCATGTTACAAATAATAAGAGGAGAATAGTTATTAATGGGCCAAGGAGTGGACAGAGCAGGTGAAAGAAGGGAGAGCCTTTTAAATCACATTCCAGATGACCATGGACTCTGTTTCTTGGTTATATCTACGAAGCCAGGTCACCTGTTCATAGATTTTTAAAAATATATTTTTTATTTATTTTTTACAGAGAGGAAGGGAGAGGGATAGAGAGTTAGAAACATCGATGAGAGAAACACCGATCAGCTGCCTCCTGCACACTCCCCACTGGGGATGTGCCTGCAACCAAGGTACATGCCCTTGACCGGAATTGAACCTGGGACCCTTAAGTCCACAGGCCGACACTCTATCCACTGAGCCAAACCGGTTAGGGCATAGATTTTTTTTTTTTAAGATTAAGTTTAATCTGGCCTGACCTTACATGTGACACAGGTTTTGTCAATGGCTGCACCGACACCTCCCTGTTTAGCTAGGTGGTAGTCTAGGGCAAGTCTATTGTCTAGAACAGCCGTGGGCCCGTTTGAAATGAATAAAACTATTGAAAAAAAAGACCGTATCCTTTTATGTAATGATGTTTACTTTGAATTTATATTAGTTCACACAAACACTCCATCCATGCTTTTGTTCCGGCCCTCCGGTCCAGTTTAAGAACCCATTGTGGCCCTCGAGTCAAAAAGTTTGCCTATCCCTGGTCTAGAACTACATTAGGTAAAGAATATAGGAATTCTTGAATTCCCTGTGGGGCCTCCCCTGTATTGGGAACAAGGTAATCTATGGCTTGAGTTAGACTGGGTAAGGTTGCCTCATGATAGGTGAATGCTACCCAAAGGGTTACACCTATACCTGCTAGGATTAGGCCTATGGCTCTTTGGCTCTTGTAGAGGAAGTTATTTTGTGGAACTTATTCCCACTTCTGTGGGCCTGTCCCTTGAACTGGGAGTTGTCTGTGCAGGGACAGGCCAAGGCCCGGAGTGGAGAAGTAGAAGTTCCAGGAGGCGTCTGTCATGGAGTTGGTGTTCAAAGGGTCCACAAAGGAAGACATCCTGGGGGTGCACAAGCTCCCCTAGGTGATATGTGGTTTAGCCAGTTAGTAGTTGGGACTCACATAGGGGTACCGCTTCACGGCCAAAGTGGCCCTCCTGTTAACTTGGCACCTCCGGGACCCATTGGGGCCACGCAAGCTTGAGGAGTGTGATAAATTAGTCTCCAGGCCTGGGATTTAAATCCCGCCCAATAAGTGCATCTTCCAGAGGCAGATTGCTTTTCCTTTCCATCAAAAACTTTGTGAGAGCCCTGACCGGTTTGGCTCAGTGGATAGAGCGGTGGCCTGCGGACTGAAGGGTCCCAGGTTCGATTCCGGTCAAGGGCATGTACCTTGGTTGCGGACACATCCCCAGTAGGAGGTGTGCAGGAGGCAGCTGATCGATGTTTCTATTTCATCGATGTTTCTGGCTCTCTGTCCCTCTCCCTTCCTCTCTGTAAAAAAAAAAAAAAAATCAGTAAAATATATTAAAAAAAAAAAAAAACTTTGTGAGAGCCTGGCCATGTGGCTCAGTGGTTGAGCTTCGATCTATAAATCAGGAGGTCATGGTTTGACCCAGGTCAGGGCACATGCCCAGATTTCGGGATCCATACCCAGGAGGGGGCTGCAGGAGGCAGCTGATCAATGATTTTCTCTCATCATTGATGTTTCTATCTATCTCTCCCTTCCTCTCTGAAATCAATAAAAATATATTTAAAAAACAACTTTGTGAGAGGCAGGACACTAATGCGTAATGTTAGGATGACAGAATTGTAAGGTGCCAAAGGTCTTGGGAAAGATAGTAGAGGTGGTGAGTCACCCAGTAAATGTTCAATTTGGTGCAGGCTTATTTGTATAAGGTTGGGGCACAAGTAAGGGTGAGGGAAGAACAAATAAAAGTGTATGGCCGTTTGTTTTGGGTGTGATTATAGGGTGGAGTGAGGTGAACACAGCCAAAGGGAGTCTTTGATAATGAACCTCCAGAGGGCGAGACTTTTGAAGGTATTTTGGGGAGGAGAGGAGACCTGGGTCTGGGCTTTTCCTTACAGAGAGATACTAAGGCGTATAGTGCTGAGCTGAGGTGGGAGGGTGGCAGATGCAGGAGATAGTTTCCTAAAGCGATGATATTCGGAAAGGTTGACGGGACAGTTCTCTAATCCCCGTGGGTAATGGGGAAAATTAAAGCATTTAGGGCTAGAATTAGCATTTTAGGAGCAAGGGAGACATGTGTTACGTGGCTGCCAGGCAGTGCTCAAGTGAAGAGAAAAACGAGAGCTACAAGAAACCCTAAGCAAAGAAAAAGACCTGAAATCTCAGTGGCCAGCTGGTGGGTCATTTACATATTGGTCGAGAAGTCTTCTTTGAGTTGTTTCTGAAAGAGTAACTTTGTCTTCCAGGGGTTCACAGGTGGGTTGTCCTCCTGACGTTCCTGCAGAGGCTCGGGAGAAGGGGTTTTATTCCAGATAAATCTACCCGGGATTGTATACCTGATAGCTTGACCCGTGTGGGAGTGGCCAGCAAGGACCCAGTCCTGGGAGATGTGCTGGGCCTGGAAGAGGATCTGCTCGAGGATGGAAGGACTCAATGGACAGAACTTCGGTCTGTTGCACTGTCCTACACCAATGATTGAAGTTCTTCCTGGATCTCTGGTCAAAATGTATGTCAGAGGGAAGAAGGGCCCCCCTTATAACATCTGAAAAAGGCTCAGTTCTAAGTTTGATTTGGGAGCCCTCTGTATCTTAGGACTATGGGCAGGAGCCAAAGCCATGTCGCCAAGGTCTCCTGGCATAATTTTGCTAAGATGTTCTTTTTTTTTTTTTTTTTTAAATATATTTTATTGATTTTTCACAGAGAGGAAGGGAGAGAGATAGTCAGAAACAGATGAGAGAGAAACATCGATCAGCTGCCTCCTGCACATCTCCCACTGGGGATGTGCCTGCAACCAAGGTACATGCCCTTGACCGGAATCGAACCCGGGGCCCCCCAGTCTGCAGGCCGACGCTCTATCCACTGAGCCAAACCGGTTTCGGCAAGATGTTCTTTAAGGTATGATTATCCTCTACCCACTGAAGACTGAGGCCCATGAACAACGTAAATAGGGCCTGTGCTGTTTGGTCATTTTGGCCACACAGGAAGAACCATTGTCCCTTTGGAGGCTTCGAGGCAGTCCCAATCTCGGAATGATCTCCTTTTCAGTTCTGGTAGGAAAGGCCTCTACACATCCAGTAAGTGCCTATAAATATCAGGATTTAGTGGAGACCCTGGGAGGGGGCACTTGGGTAACATCTATTTGCCAATCTTCTGGGAAGGTAAACAGCTTGCGAAGGGTTTTTCTCCCTAGCTCATTAACTGAACTGAGGGTATAGGCCTGAGTGACTTCTTTTATGGCTCAAAATAGGTCTCTCCTAATAAATATTGTTTTGACATTAAAAAATAGGTGACATCTTTACCTAGATGGAGTCGTGAGAGGATTTTATGATCTTCCATTGATCCTTAGGTGGAAGCAGCAGCCTGTGATCTCCAGTCCTTCATTGTTTATGGGAAAACCTTGCCTTTCCACCCAGGCATTTTAATCAGGGGCATAGCGCAGAGGAAGAGTATATGGAATTAGGGCCATAACAGGGGTATCTGACCTGGCAGCCTCCTCTGCAATCCTGCTGGTAAGGGAGTTTCCTTTAGATATTTCAGTGAGGTCCCTTTGATGTCCCTTACAGTGGAGCAGGGCTACTTTTGGGGGGGTTTATCACCTCTAGTAGCCTTAGAACCTCTGGGCCATTTTAATAGCTTGTTGTGGTTTTTTGCTGTTACTGGTTCCCTTTCCCCAGATGGCAACATGAGCATGTAAAACAAGGCAGGCATATTTGGAGTCGGTGTAAATGCTGCCTCTTTTGTTTTTTCCTAAAGAGCTTGGGTCAAAGCTGAGTCCAGCCTTTTGGGCCAAAATTCCCAAGGAGTGCGGCTTGGCTTCTGGGGTCTCCTGAGGGCTTAGGATTGCATAGCCTGTCCCCTTCCCTGGTTGACAGCAGTGTTTCCATCTGTGAACCATTCTACCTGGGGACTGCCAAGGGCTATCTATGTCCTTTAAGCCAGGTCTACTGGAGAATACCTGTTCAATAGTTTCAACACAGGGATGTAAGATGTCAATTAAGGTAGCCAGACTTAGGGTTTGACATACCACTTGCAGAGTGAGCTCAGGGGAATCTAAGAGAAGGGCCTGATATTTAGTAAAAAAAAAGTCTTCCTCCCTTTAGCCGATGGTGTGCTTGTGCCACAAGGACAAATTGAACCTGATGTGGAGTTTGGACTTGTAAAAGTTGGCCTAGTGTCAGCTCAGTGGCTTCTTCAGTTAACAGAGCAGTTGCCGCTACTGCCCATGGGCAGCTCTGCCATTACATTGCCAGTCTAATAGCTTTGAAAAGTAAGCTACTGGCTAGGGACAGTGGCTAGCTTTAGGGCTAGGAATCCTATGGTGATCCCTTGTTTTTTTCTGCTACATATAGAATATAGGCATTCCTAGGTCAGGGAGGCCCAGGGCCAGGGCCTCTTAGGGCTGATTTGAGGGCCTTGAAGACTCAGTTTAACCCTTTGTACATCATAAGCATCTATAGACGCAATTCAATTCAAAATATGGTGGCATGCGGGATGGTTTCCGTTCTGGATGCGTGGCAGTTAACTGGTTAAGCCTTGGTTCCATCCTAATGGCTCAGAATCTGGTCCTTTGATTGCCTCATGAAGGGACTTAGCTATCAGCCCAAACCAGGGATCCAGATTTGGCAGAAACCCGCCATTCCTAAAAAGGTTCTCAATTTTTTCTTTGTCTGGGAGACTGCAAGATTTAGAATAGCCTTTTTGTTCAAGAACCCTGGGTTAGGTGTAGCCTAAATATGTGCAGTTGAGGAGGAAATCTGAACCTTACTGGGAGACACTGGGTATCCCTTTTCCCCCAGGAAATTAAGGACTAAAGTAGTGTTATGGTCAAAGTTCTGTTTGGTGGGGCTAAAAAATTAGACTATCATCCACATCTTATGATCCCATGCAGGAGCTCTAGTTCCTGCAGATTTTCCAAGTGCTTGTCCAAAAATACGCAGACTATACGGAACCCCTGAGTAAGGAAGGACAGTCTGAGTCTATTGAGCTGTTACGTGGGTGTCCCACCCATCAATTCTAAGGCAAACGGAGGCTATCTGGGCAAAGTAGGATGCAAAACAATGCAT